ATATTAAAGTGGATGGTTTAATAGATAAATACAAGGCAAGGCTTGTTGTTAAGGGATACAAATACAAGGAAGGCCTTGATTATTTTGACACTTACTCAGTGGTGGCAAGAATAACATCCATTCGCATGCTACTAGCGATTACATCATTGTACAATTTGGAGATATATCAAATGGGTATTAAAACAACCTTTTTGAATGGTGAGTTAGATGAGGAAATTTATATGGAATAACCAGAAGGGTTTAAAGTTCAAGGCCAAGAGAAAAAGGTTTGTAAACTTGTCAAATCTCTTTCTGGATTAAAACAAGCTCCGAAACAATGGTATGAAAAGTTCGATCATGCTATGATTTCAGATGGTTTTAAGATAAACAAATATGACATGTGTGTCTATGTAAAAAACGCAGACAGAGACTATGTCATAGTTTGTCTTTATGTCGATGACATGCTTATTATTGGAAGCAATAATGACATTGTTCAATCCACGAAGAAAATGTTAAACATGAGATTTGACATGAATGACCTGGGAGTAGCAGATGTAATTCTAGGGATGAAAATCACAAGAACATCTGAAGAATATGCTTTATCTTAGTCTCAGTATGTTAAGAAGATTCTAGAGAAATTTGGGAAGCATGACGAATGTCCTACAAGAACACTTGTTAACATTAGTGTACATGTCTTAAAGAATACAGGTGTAGGAATATCACAATTAGAGTACTCTCAGATAATCGAAAGCTTGGTGTACTTAATGAATTGTACGAGGCCAGATATAGCATGTGAGCAAGTTGAGTAGGTATATAAGTAGTCCAAAATAGATAACTGGAAAGCAATAATTAGGGTAGTTAGGTATCGAAGACATACCTAAAATTATGGCTTATATTATACTTGATATCTAGTAGTACTGGAGGGTGTAGACACCCCATTTTTTACCATCCTTAAGACATGGGCGCCACTGATTGATCACTCGATGGTGCAGGCTATACAGTGCAAATGATCAATTTCTTCGACAAGGAGAGAGTCAAATCCTAACCTTACACCCCAGTTGTGGACCAAAACTATTTTGACCAAAGGATTTAGACCCTAAAACCCTCTCTTTCAAAAACATTTTTGAAAGAAGTTTTTACGATGTTCCGAGGCTCGCATTTCGTTAAATGTTGCGCTTTTAGGTACACCAAGCAAGGACAAAGTGGAAATGAACGAAAGAGAGGTGAACTCTTTGAAAACAATCTTTAAAACACCTTATTTAGGGGTTTGGGGTTGAAGAAAATTGGAGGAGAGGGAAGAAACCAAGTTGGGGAAGAAGTTGGGCATGAATCATTAAGAGAGAGTCGAGCAGCCCTCGCTAAATCGAGCCTATGAATTTTTACACTCAGAATTCAGCTATGAGGCCACCATCGTTGGAAATTGGACTTCTGGGGCTTCATTTTTCACACAATAATCTTCTAAAGCCAAGTTCGGATGGGGGAGATATGGTTGGTTGAAGTTGGGCATGAATCCGGTTGAGCCAAAACTGAGTAGTCTTCCCTAAAAGAGGTATATCTCTTATCACACTTGGAATTTTGATGTGAGGCTACCACCATTGGAAAGAAGACTTCCGGGGCTTCAATTAAGGCACAAGAATGACCTGAAAATGGTCCTTATGAAGGAGATATGCCCCTTCGAAGTTGGACCTGGAGAGCAGATTTTTGCTATCGGCCACAAATGTGGGCTGTCGGCCACTAATGTCCCAAACTCAGATATTTTGCAAATCTTTACCCACCAGCTGTTCTACACAACCTCCAGCTGTCCCAATTTAGATATTTCGACCAAATGCGCACTTTTTGCTATATATGAAGGCCATATCTCTCATATTGGGAGGTTAGAAAGTTTGGGAGTCTCTCTCTCTCTCTCTCTCTCTCTCTCTCTCTATAATTTTGGATCAAAATTCCTCCCTCTCTCCCTAGAATTCTCTTTCTCTCTCCTCTAGTTTATGCATGAAAGTGACAATTTTGTGATAACCCTGGTCTGTAATATGCTAATTAATCTTAATTATGATTGCCATTATGTGTCTGATATGATTGTGAGTGCCATTTATATGAATATATGTGGTTTCAAATTTCTATATGTCACCGTAGGAAAATATGTTTGATTATCTGCTTTAGAATTTAAATTGAAGGCCATATCGGCTATAGAAGGCGAAATTGACTACGCCATTGTGATTGTCGTAATTTTTAGAGCCTATGGTGAAATTTAATTGAAAATTTATTCAGATCAAAATAATTAGATTCATAATGACTAAGTAGAGCACTATTATTAACCTTAATGAATTTGATTAAGTGGGAGACTATAAAAAGGGGGCATTACACTCACATTCATTTGGAAGGATTGCTAGAGAATCCAAGAAACTAAGGGGATTAGCTCAAGAATTAGCTATAATTGGAAGGATTGAAGCTCCTACGTGAGTAATCAACTCTTAATTCATCGGTTGAGTATGTAATTTTGTGAATTCAAGTGGTATGGTAGCTCATGGCAAAGATTGAGTTGAATATGAAGTTAGAATGCACATGCATGCATGAAATTACTATGAATCACCATGAATTGCCATGAAATTGCATAAGCTAGGATAAATAATGTTGAACATGGAGAATTGGGCACCAATCTTCACATGCATGCATAATTTTCATGGGTTCCATAATAATGAATGTCATTTGTAACATTTGAAATAGAAATGAAGTTAAAAATTGACATGCATGTTTGATTAATGGAGATATGGGGCTTATCTGAGGTTTGAATGCATGAGCTTTGATTATACAAAAGAAATGATGAATAATTTGAGGATTTGACCATGATTTTGAATAATTGGCCTCATATTGCTTACATCCTTATGCTATACATTGAGTTTCCACGTTTTTGGACCAAAAACATGAATGGTCGACCTTTGAATATCAAAGTTGCACTTGAAGAACAATTCTGGAAAACCCAGAATTTGACATGTCCGCTCGAGCGGGAAAAGTGCCTCTCGAGCGTGAAATGTGAGCTCCCAGAACTTTTTGCAGACATTGATGTCCGCTCGAGCGGGGATGTTCACACTCGAGCGGGGAGCCATGTAGTATGACATTCAGCTCGAGCGTCCAAATTCATTCTCGAGCGTAGAATTTAGGCAACCAGTATTTTTACAGACCATCAGGGTCCGCTCGAGCGGCGGAACCCACGCTCAATCGTGGATCCCTGTTTCAGAAAATTTGTAAAGGTGTTCTGTGTTTCATTTTCCGTTCGCTTTCACTTCTAAATACTCTTAGGCATGCATTGAACATTAGGAATGAACTAAAAGAATGAGAAAGAAACCTAAGAGGGATGTATGAATTAAGAACGGATTGAATTAATTATGACCCATATGTGTTATGTAATGTGTAGCGTCAAGCTCCAATGCAAATCCACCGGCAGAACACTGTAAGTAATATCTTAGTAAAGATGATGTGAAATGTGCTATTTGTCATATTGCTTATTCCTTATAAGTTTCATAAGCTTGTTAATTTGAATTGTGGACAAATATTTGTTATGCCATATGGTTGGGCCGAAGGCCGTTGGATACAAATGACTAGGCCGAAGGCCGTTTGACATGAATGAACAAATGGGCCGAAAGGCCGTTCGACATGAATGAATAAATGAAAGGGCCGAAGGCCGTTGGATACGAATGGTTGGGCCAAAGGTAGTTTGATATACATGAATGATTGGGCCAAAGGCCATTCGATACGATTGATTGGGCCAAAGGCCATTGGATACGAATGGTTGGGCCAAAGGCCGTTGGATACGAATGGTTGGGCCAAAGGCTGTTGAATATAATTGAATGGGCCAAAGGCCATTTGATATACATGAATGAATTAGGCTGGAGGCCGTTTGTCAAAGAACGAAGTGGGCCAAAGGCCATTTGATATGTTCGGGCTTGAATCGCCTAATGTACCAAAACAATGCACTAAATAGAATTCTACATGGGCCCAAGGCCGTTTGATATATGTGAATCTCAATTGCGTACGTTCTTTATTCGATATTATTCACTAGGCTTTCACTCACGCTTATTCATGTCTATATAGGTGAGCCAAGGGATGTCCAAACCCAGCCTCGGTGAAGTATGTGCGAAATGGTCAAGGTTTTGATGAGTCAGCCCAAACGTCTCACGCACGAGACTTGTTTTCGCCACTTTTGTTCTTTTGATATAGTTTTGTTTTATTGGCGAAAATATCGGATTACTTTTGTATATAAACTTTGGGTTTGACTGACTTCAACTTGAATGATCCTGCATGTGCAGAACCTTGTGTTATTATTCCTTTAATGTGAGTTATTAAAAGATATATATATATATATATATATGGACTGTTATGTTGTGCCATGTAAGCACAGCTCTATGGACAAAAGTTTTAAATTTGCTTCCGTTTGGCCCTTTTACTCTGATGAGATATGTCTTGTTTGGTTTGAGGCTGTAGGTAATCCCTTGATTACTGGTCAGTTATGTCCTTAAACCATAGGGGCGGGTTCGGGTCATGACAGAGTGGTATCAGAGCACGAGTTAATAACTCACACACTTCTCCAAATGAGTAATAAGCATCTAGAAAAGATCTAGGATGCATTCATGTGATAAGTATGAATCTGAAAGCATCTAGAATACGCTTATATGTTTTAATGTGAACGATTATGTGTTATAAGTTTGTGATTTGCTTGCATTGCAAATTATTTGAATATGTATGCCCTTTAGTAAATGCATACCTATGAGTCTTTTGTATAAAGAATAATGCAAGCTTAATCAGATCAGATGGTGAGAACAAGAGGTGATGAGATAAAAGAGTCCTCTACTACCAGAATGGATAGGATGGAAAGATTAATTCAGGAAATGGCAGAAACATTGAGGAAACAACAACAGTGGCAACAACAGTGGTAGCAACCACATCCTCCACCTCCACCTCCGGCACCCTATGTGCCAGACTTACAAAATGATGATCGGATAATAGCTCTCACCAAAGAGTTTAAGAAAATGAAACCACCACAGTTTCATGGGGGTTTGGATCCGTTAAAGGCTGAAGCATGGGTCCACAGTATAGAGAAACTATTTGAAGTGTTTCCTTGCTCAGAGACACAGAAAGTACTCCAAGCCACCTTTTTGCTAGAAGATGAGGCAAGAAGATGGTGGATGTTAATGCGTGAGAATCATAAAGATGTTAACTGGGCGAAATTCCTAGAAGTCTTCTATGATAAGTACTTCCCTCAGTGTGTCCGTGATAGGAAAGTATCGGAGTTCATAGAACTTAAAGAAGACAGCATGACAGTAGCTGAGTATGAGGCCAAATTCACTGAGTTGGCCATGTTTGCACCACATGTGATCGATACTGACTATAAGAAAGCGAGGCATTTTGAAGGTGTGCTTCGAAGCGATATTTTAGAAAGGGTGAATGTCTTAAAGCTGGAAACCTATATTGGGGTGCTAGACCGGGCCATAATGTCCGAAGCTAACATAGCTAGACAGGCTAAATCAACAACTAACTGGAAAGGTAGTAAAAGACAGGGCTTCTTTTCAAAGAAGAAGTTTTCAAAGAAGCAAAATACGGGCTCCTTAAGTACTTCTAAGTCTTCCCGAGATACATCCCCAATATGCAATATTTGTAGTAAAAGGCATCGTGGGGTTTGTTACCGTGTGTTAGGAGCTTGTTTTAAGTGCGGAAAAACAGGGCATATGGCTAGAGATTGTAATCAGAATAGCGGGAAATTAGCTGCTAGTTCCACTGCATCAATCCCAAAACCAGGAAATACTATAAGATCTACTACCACTGGAGATGCCGTGAGAAAAGGGAGAGTTTTTGCGCTTGTTCCGGGCGATACACGGAATACTAATGTCGTTGTCTCAAGTACTATCTCTATATGTAATTTGTGTTAATTGACTCTGGATCAATGCACTCTTTCATAACTTGTGCATTTGCATCTAGACTAAGTAGACCTCTAGAATCATTGCCATACTTGCTATGTGTATCTGCTCGATCCGGGGAATTTGTGTTATGTGAATCTGTATATCGGTTTTGTGACATGCGTATTGGGAATGCTATCCTGTATGTGGATTTGTTGCCCCTGAGCTTTAGATATTTTGATATAATTCTAGGCATGGATTGGTTAACTAAATATTGTGCCGCCATTGATTGTGTAACAAAACGGGTTGTGTTTAAACCACCGGAACAGGAAGAAATTGTGTTTGTGGGTAACGGGGTAGTGCCTCCATCTTATTTGATATCTGCAATGAAAGCGTGTAAATTAATCAGGAAAGGGTGCCAGGGTTATTTATGTTGTGTGCTATCTGAACAATCTGTGAATGTTGAATTGAACATTATCCCTATTGTTAGAGAATTTCCATATGTGTTTCCAAATGAATTACCAGGGGAATTGGTGGACAGGGAGATAGGGTTTATGATTGAAATTATGCCAGGCACCCAGCCTATTTCTAAAACTCCCTATAGAATGGCTACTGCTGAAATGAAAGAACTGAAGGAATAGTTGCAAGACCTGCTTGACAAAGGGTTTATCCGACCTAGCACTTCGCCATGGGGTACACTAGTGTTGTTTGTGAAAAAGAAAGATGGAACCTTGCGTTTGTGTATCAACTATCGAGAATTGAACAAGGTAACAATAAAGAATAAATATCCCCTACCTCGTATTGATGACCTGGTTGACCAGTTGCAGGGATCACAAGTGTTTTCCAAAATTGATTTGAGATCCGAGTATCACTAGTTGAATGTGAAAGAAGAAGATGTTGAGAAAATCGCGTTTCGAACAAGGTATGGCCATTATGAATTTTTTGTTATACCATTTGGGGTAACCAATGTTCCGGCAGCGTTTATGGACTTAATGAACCGAATTTTTAAAACCTACCTTGATGAATTTGTTGTGGTTTTTATTGATGACATTTTGATATACTCCAAGAATAGAATTGAACATGAACAACATCTGAGCACTGTGTTACAGATACTTAGAGAAAAGAAGTTATTTGCTAAACTAAAGAAATGCGAATTTTGGTTGGATGAAGTAATCTTTTTAGGGTATGTGATCAACAAGGAGGGAATATCAGTGGATCTGCAGAAAATAGAGGCGATTGTGAATTGGCCTACACCGACAAATGTAACAGAAATCAGCAGTTTCATGGGCTTAGCTGGATACTACAGAAGATTTGTAAAAGACTTTTCAAAAATAGATGTGCCTCTTACCCAACTGACATGAAAAGGGCAACCGTTTGAATAGAATAACGAAAGAGAATTTGCCTTTCATAAACTAAAAACAAGACTAACCACTGCACCAGTATTGACATTGCCCACAAGTACGAAAAACTTTGTAATTTTCAGTGATGCATCTTATAAAGGTTTGGTTTGTGTGTTAATGCAGAATGGGCGGGTAATGTCACACCCCAGACCCGCCCTTAAAAGTTTGGGCATGACTTATTCGGAAACAGACACTGAATCTGATATACATATCATATGGGGCCTGAACAGAAGCATTTAATATCATATAATAACATAAAACATCATCCATTGAGCTACCACTACTATGCCAGGATTGCAAACATTACATTAGATAGATAATACACAGGAAGTATATACCCGAGCTTTAGTTACAGTCATTCACATTCATACCAAAGTACTAAAGAAGAAAGGGGTTATTTACATTCAACCATAGGTAGACAATCAAAGCATAAACCGAAAACCTAGTTAAAGTTTTACAAAATACACGGGTTCCATCTTAAGTGCCTAGACACACTGAGGTTGACAAGAGATAGACAAGTCTCTAGGGTTAGGACTGGCATTCTAGTTGATTACCTATAGAAACAGACAAAATACAGAGTGAGTAAAACTCAGTAAATAATAGCACATAAATAATGCAGTGGTTAACTTAAATAATAAAGCATATAACTGTGGACACATATGATTAATTACATTCTGTAGTCATTTCTAGAACGGCCATGGCCCGATTTCCTTAACAGAGTGACTTCAAGCCCAGTAATACACAGAACGGCCATCGGCCCAGAAATAGCAGAACGGCCTATCGGCCCAGAAATAACAGAACGGCCTATCGACCCAGAAATAACAGAACCGCCTAACGGCCCAGAAATAACAGAATGGCCTAACGGCCCAGAAATAACAGAACAGCCTAGCGGCCCAGAAATAACAGAACGGCCTATCGGCCCAGAAATAACAGAACGGCCTAACGGCCCAGAAATAACAGAACGGCCTAACGGCCCAGAAATAACAGAACGGCCTAGCGGCCCAGAAATAACAGAACAGCCTAGCGGCCCAGAAATAACAGAACGGCCTAGCGGCCCAAATATAAAAGAACGGCCATCGACCCAATTACATATGTATGGATTCAAGAGGTGGCTCGTACGGATTCTAGAGGTGACTCGCATTGCAGCACTTAGTTCCGTACAGTACTTTGTTCCATAGCAGAAATAATAGGTCTTATCATGTCATGGCATAGACGGAACAAACAACAAAACAGAATAACCTCAGATATCATTAGAACGGGCTAGTTTTAGAGTTATAGAGAGGCACACGGATTCTTCCAATCATTCACATGAGTTAACGTAGTTAGTTTACATTTAACAGAATACTGATGATAATTATTAGCAATAAGGATAGCGTATCCCACAGATTATACACGTGCCATCACAATACTATTTGTAGAGACAAAACAATTTACCTCAGAACAGTCTTGGCTCATCATTGACAAAATAGAATGATTCGGGATACACAAGCATCATTGTTCCACTTGATCATTATGAATCATTAACGGTAATTTACAGATAACAGAACATTAATAAAATGTCTTTTAACAGTAAGAAAAATGCACTACTATAGTATTATCCAATTATGCTAATCCTCTTTAGCAGATATCCAGGTCACAAGACATATATTGAACCAAACAGATGATAGGAGTTCCTGACAGAACATTCGGGGTATTACGTTCCCATTTAAAATATCAAGTACCCGGTAAGCGGGGTTACTTTCACGAGCTTTTTCTGTTAACCAATTCCAAATCAACATACACGTTAACATAGTGGCCCGAGGAGAATATAATGTTAATAACAATAATTATTAACAGTACTAGATGTACATTGATAGTACTATCACTCACAGTGATAGATTCTGGTAGCAGTGGGACGATATCCTCGTCTTGACCTACAAACACAATGCATATAGTATCATAAGATTATACCCGATTACTTACTTTACTCTTAATCAATTAGTCATATCAGCTCTAAACTCGTTAATCCTTAGTAGGTTATAATCCATGGCTCAGAAAATACGAGGGATCGATAGGAGAAAGGTTCAGACGATGAAACAGTACCAACTCAGTAAATAGAAAGTGAATAGTCGCCCCTAATTTCAGCATAACTATTTCTGTATTTAGAATTTGGGAGTGAGACCACTTCCATTGGAAACTAGACTTCTAGGACTTGATTTTAGGCTCAAGAATCACTCAAAACAGAGTCCGGATGCAAAAGATATGCTTGTTCAAAGTTACCTAGTGTATGCTGAAACAGGGGTGGCTGCTCGTGCGCCCACTTTGGCCGCTCGTGCGGCCCAATTCCGCTCGAGCGGAAGAACCCAGCCGCTCGAGCGCCCAAAAACAGAATGACTTTTTTCTTCTTCATGTCCCCTCGTGTGGTGCCCTTGGCCACTCGTGCGGTCTGGGCAAGGAAATCAGTCCGAAAATTGCAGCAAAACTCATTCTTTTGGGAGTGTTTGCAAGGCTCTAAGATGGATCTTTTAATTGCTAAATCATGGTTCAAAAAGCATGTAAATAGGGATACAAACATACCACCACTTGCACTTGGATTTGATCTTCTTCACTCTCTCACCATCACAATCCATTTCTCTCCAATACATGCACAATTCATCTCTCACATAATTAGATGCAAGCATGTAAATTCACAAAGAGTATGTAATTTTCCCTCTTATGGTTCAAATTAACACAACTACAACATGATGATCATACTTCTTCAATTCCATAAGTGTCGCACACACACACACCACAACACACCTCTTACCTTACTTGAACACCCAAGAAATTCATACCCCAAGACAAGAAGAGGAGTTAATTAAAGTGAAATTTACATACCTTGTGCCTAGATCTCTCAAATTCCAATCCTTCTTTGATGATCTACCTCCCTTAGCTCTCAACCCTTCTCTATTCTAAACTCTTCCTCCAGGAGATATTTTGAATGAAGTCCTAAGTCCATTTGTTTAAAGAGCTTTGATACAAAGATATATATATATATATATATATAACATGTGAATAGGACAAAAATCATTCGTTTAATCATCCCAAATTGAAATTTCACAAAAACGCTTATTATTACCTAAAAATTACACTGATCTCAAATGTAAAATCATTTTCAACTAATTAAGTCTCTAAGGCTTCCAATTTCTGATTTAAACATTATAATGGTGATAGATACTTCCTTATGAAGACAGATAGAAATCAATGTTCATATGTTTTGCTTAATTAAACCTCATTTCACATGACATTTCACAGGAAGCGAGTAAATGCACAGAATAAAGGACCGAAAATGTACCAGAAACAGATATGAGGGTCGGGTTATTACAGGTAATTGCTTATGCCTCTCGACAATTGAGACCACATGAGAAAAACTACCCAACACATGATTTAGAATTGGCCACAGTTGTATTCGCTTTGAAAATCTGGCGGCATTATTTATATGGGGCAAAGTATGTGGTCTACATGGATCATAAAAGTCTAAAATACTTCTTTACACAGAAGGAGTTGAACATGCGACAGAGGAGATGGCTTGAATTAATAAAAGACTATGATCTTGAAATCCAATATCACCCCGGGAAAGCCAATACAGTTGCTGATGCCTTGAGCAGAAAATCAATGGGGAATTTGGCTTGTTTGCTTACTGAACAAAAACAAATCTTGAAAGATTTTGAGAAGTCCGAGATTGAAGTGGTATTTTGTGAACAAGGCAGACTGATAGCCACTATTTCAGCCGAACCGGCAATCATTGATGAGATTAAATAGAAACAAAAAGAGGATAAATTCCTCAAGAAAGTGATTGATGAATTTGAGACAAGTTCGAAAGCATAATTCAGCATTGAAAATGAAGTGTTGAGGTTTCGAAACCGAATATGTGTCCCAGATATTCTGGAACTAAAGAAAAGAGTTCTAGATGAAGCTCACAAGTCAGTGTTTGCTATGCATTCGGGCAATAACAAAATTTATCGGGATTTGAAACAGAGTTATTGGTGGCCCAGAATGAAGAAAGAAATTGCTGAATATGTGTCCAAGTGTCTTCAGTGCCAGCAAGTTAAAGCTGAACATCAGAAACCGGGTGGTCTACTTCAACCTCTCCCTATTCCTGAATGGAAGTGGGAGCATATGACTATGGATTTTTTTGTTAGTCAACCTCGGACCCCTCGAGATATGGATTCTGTCTGGGTTGTGGTTGATAGACTGACTAAATTCGCACATTTTCTGCCTGTTAAGACTACATTTGATGCTTATAGACTGGTTACTATATACGTTGATGAAATTGTTCGTTTACACGGAGTTCCAGTATCCATTGTCCCGGATAGAGATCCGAAGTTTGTGTCTAGATTGTGGAAGAGTTTGCAAAGGGCTATGGGGCCAGAATTGAGGTTTAGTACCGCATTCTACCCACAGACAGACGGACAATCAGAATGGACAATATAGACTTTGGAAGATATGCTAAGGACGTGTGCCTTGGATTTTCAAGGGAGTTGGGAAGACTATTTGCCACTCGTAGAATTTGCATACAGTAACTGATTCCACTCCAGCATCAGTATGGCACCATATAAGGCTTTGTATGGTAGAAGGTGTAGGTCACCAATTTGGTGGACAAAAGTTGGAGATAGAGCTCTACTTGGGTCCGAAATTGTGCAAGACACTTCTGAAAAAGTCCGAATTATTTAGTAAAGGCTCAAGACAGCCCAGAGTCAACAAAAGAATTATGCGGATGTTCGAAGAAGACCTCTTGAATATGAGGTTAGTGATCATGTGTTTATTCGTGTGACGCCGATGAAGGGCCAAGTAAGATTTGGAAAGAAAGGTAAATTGTCACCTCGTTATGTTGGGCCGTTCCAAATTTTGGAAAGGCTTGCTCCAGTTGCCTGTCGAGTTTCTTTGCCACCGGGATTCGAGCAAATCCATAATGTGTTTCATGTGTCAATGTTGAGGGGTTATCTCCGAGATCCATTTCATGTGATTGATTATCACCATATAGCTCTTGACGAGGATATGGAATACGCAGAATGGCCGGAACGAATCATTGACTGGCAAGTGAAACAATGAAGAAGCAAGTCCATCCCGATGGTGAAACTGGAATGGAAAGAACACTATGGGATGGACGCTACATGGGAAAAAGAGGATGAAGTGCGACTACACTATCCACATTTATTTTCCGACGAAGGTAACATAAGTTTGGAGGACCAAACTTCCTAAAGGGGGGGAGACTGTGATAACCCTGGTCCGTATTATGCTAATTAATCTTAATTATGATTGTGATTATGCATTTGATATGATTGTGAGTGCCATTTATATGAATATATGTGGTTTTGAATTTCTATATGTCACCGTAGGAAAATCTGTTTGATTATCTGCTTCAGAATTTAAATTGAAGGCCTTATCGGCTGTAGAAGGCGAAATTGACTACGTCATTGTGATTAGCATAATTTTTAGAGCCTATGGTGAAATTTAGTTGAAAATTTATTCGGATTAAAATAATTAGATTCATAATGGCTAATTAGAGCACTATTATTAACCTTAATCAATTTGATTAAGTGGGAGACTATAAAAAAGGGGCATTACACTCACATTCATTTAGCTTGGAGCCCATTTCACTCATTTTGGCTGAGATTAGCTCTCTAGAGAGAGAGAGAGGGGCCAACATTGAAGAATTGCTAGAGAATCCAAGAAACTAAGGGGATTAGCTCAAGAATTAGCTATAATTGGAAGGATTGAAGCTCCTAGGTGAGTAATCAACTCTTAATTCATGGGTTGAGTATGTAATTTTGTGAATTCAAGTGGTATGGTAGCTCATGGCAAAGATTGAGTTGAATATGAAGTTAGAATGCACATGCATGCATGAAATTACTATGAATCACCATGAATTGCCATGAAATTACATAAGCTAGGATAAATAATGTTAAACATGGAGAATTAGGTCCCAATCTTCACATGCATGCATAAATGTAATTTTGTGAATTCAAGTGGTATGGTAGCTCATGGCAAAGATTGAGTTGAATATGAAGTTAGAATGCACATGCATGCATGAAATTACTATGAATCACCATGAATTGCCATGAAATTGCATAAGCTAGGATAAATAATGTTGAACATGGAGAATTAGGCGCCAATCTTCACATGCATGCATAATTTTCGTGGGTTCCGTAATAATGAATGTCATTTGTAACATTTGAAATTGAAATGAAGTCAAAAATTGACATGCTTGTTTGATTAATGGAGATATGGGGCTTATATGAGGTTTGAATGCATGAGTTTTGATTATACAAAAGAAATGATGAATAATTTGAGGATTTGACTATGATTTTGAATAATTGGCCTCATATTGCTTACATCCTTATGCTATACATTGAGTTTCCACGTTTTTGGACCAAAAACATTAATGGTGGACCTTTGAATATCAAAGTTGCACTTGAAGAACAATTCTGGCAAACCCAGAATGTGACATGTACGCTCGAGCAGGAAAAGTGCCGCTCGAGCGTGAAATGCGAGCTCCCAAAAATTTATGCAGACATTGATGTCCGCTCGAGCGGGGATGTTCACACTCGAGCAGGGAGCCATGTAGTATGACATTCAGCTCGAGCGTTCGAATTCACCCTTGAGCGTAGAATTAAGGCAACCAGTATTTTTGCAGACCATCAGGGTCCACTCGAGCGGCGGAACCCATGCTCGAGCGGGGACCCCATTTTCAGAAAATTTGTAAAGGTGTTCTGTGTTTCATTTTTCGTTCTCTTTCACTTCAAAGTACTCTTAGGCATGCATTAAACATTATGAATGAACTAACAGAATGCGAAAGAAGCCTAAGAGAGATGTATGAATTAAGAACAGATTGAATTAACTATGACCCATATGTGTTATGTAATGTGTAGGGTCGAGCTCCAGGGCAAATCCACTAGCAGAACACTGTGGGTAATATCTTAGTAAAGATGATTTGAAGTGTGCTATTTTTCCCATCGCTTATTCCTTATAAGTTTCATAAGCTTGTTAATTTGAATTGTGGACAAATATTTGTTATGCCATATGGTTGGGCCGAAGGCCGTTGGATACAAATGACTGGGCCGAAGGCCGTTTGACATGAATGAACAAATGGGCCGAAAAGCCGTTTGACATGAATGAATGAATGAATGGGCCAAAGGGCGTTGGATACGAATGGTTGGGCCAAAGGCCGTTTGATATACATAAATGATTGGGCCAAAGGCCGTTGGATATGATTGATTGGGGCAAAGGCCTTTTGACATACATGAATGATTGGGCCAAAGGCCGTTGGATACGAATGATTGGGCCAAAGGCTGTTGGATACGAATGGTTGGGCCAAAGGCCGTTAGATGCAATTGATTGGGCCAAAGGCTGTTTGATATACATGAATGAATGTGCATATCTTGAAGTT